GTCAATACTTAATTGGATATTTCCTTCTATACTTTTTAGCACGTAGCTATTTATTATTAGCATTATTCTTCCGACGTCTGATTATATTATGGAAAATGCGTTTTTTTAAAGTATATAAACTTTTGGGATTGACTGTATAGCCAATAGATCTTTAAAAAAATGGTAAGCGGGATTAGATTCGAATAAATCAGTGAAGACTACCGGGGGGTGAAATTCGACACGTTGTAGGTCGAGTAGGATATATTGAACTTGATGTCCCTCATTTCCTGCGTGGTGTACATCAGATATTTGTCCACCATGTTCCATTGTACGTAATTCACTGTTGAAGACCGTGAAAGATGATTTGCTAAAGGCTACGTGTTCAAACAATAGCTTGGCAATGTTCAATGCTAAGTCTCTGAACAGCCATCATTGTAAATTACAACTGTACCGCCGCTCGGTTTATGTAATTAGCAAAATTACCCAGTACGCGTCGAGAAGTTTCCCCAAGTAGTTTCGCGAGCTTATGAAGGAATTCCGGATTGTAGACTATAACAGGCTCGGACGAGTTAATACGAATGTTTGCCAGCTTGAATGCGTGTTGTATCACGTCCAGAAAATCTATCTGCAAACATTCATGTTATCGACCGCGAATCTTTGAGCAAACTCACACTTTTTGTGAACACTGTACATTCTCTGCATTTAACGATTATAAATTATGCCCGGGACTGAGATGACAGATTGTTGTTGGAAAAAAATTCTTGGAATTTACCTTCGCCGTAGGCGACGCGACTCCGGAACTGTTGTACCATTTTTGCAATTGTTTAACCGTCATTCTTTCGTAATTGTCACTGACTGTATGTATTACCTTGCCGGTTTCGATGATCTGCGGGAAGAGAATTTTTTACCGTTCGCCTAGACGTGCAAAATTGTTCGAGAAGAGACTTGCTTACTTGCAGTAATTCAATTTCAAAGTTCACTAGATTCGCTATATCGCTGGCTAATTGTCGACGATTCAAAGTGTACCCTTGCTCCCTCGCGAAAGCTTGAGCCACGCGGAATATGCCGAGCGCGTACGCATCGTCGTTATAGAAGAGATTCGCCAAATCTCTTTTGCTCGTTAAAGGATACTCGGTATCTTGATCTAGCTAAAATTTTATTCATTTAATTTTGGTATCGCGAACGCGAAGAAAATTTCAAGCTGTCCTTTTCTCTCGTTTACCGTTAACACGTATCGCTTCGTGTTGTTCAAGTCGATTTCGTATTCGAGATTGTAGAAAGCACTGTTTCCTATCAGCGTGACGTAGTGCTTGTCGATTTTCTGCCAGGACGTCTCGTTGGGATCCCATTCGTTCACCGGCATAGCCATAGGCCAACCCCCGTGTTGATCGAGGATCTCCTGAATCGGTTGAACACCTCTCCTCTCAATTGCATCTGGCAGAACGTTTTATAAAGAAGGAACGATTATTATTCAATTAATTCTGACTTCGTACAATCTTTGTACCTTCGTCCATGCAAGTACGATAAAGTTTCCTAGCCATTCGAACGGGTAGAATATCATCGTGGCTGTCTTCTTCCTCGAGCATTTCTTTAGGAAGAGAATTCGATGCGTGAGCAGCAACATATCTTTTTTTTTTACTTGTATACGGAATTAGATCGAGACTGCTTGCCTTTGATACGGCTGTTAGTCTTGTCCATAACTAACTGGTCCTCGGACCATTCGACTTCGTTCTCGGGCATGGGATTACGTACGCTCCACGAGCCGCACGCGTATTGATAGAAATCTTCGCATGGATCCGCGTCGACGTCTCTGTTATTTAAGATCCTGTTCGCTGAATCAGAAATTGTCAAAATAAGAATTAACATTCGACTCCGTTCGTTTGTAAATGAGATTTAAATGACGGTCTACGTGCGCATTAAACATTTCCTGGAAATAATTGAGACGACAACAAGAAAAAAACGCGGCTGAAAAACAGCAATTAGTCCGCGTCTCCTGTGTGACGAGTCACGTGTACATCTCATTCGATTTCTCATTTTCTCTTTTCATTATTTTACCGTTGTATACCAGAGGTGCGGCGTTCTTATATAATGCAGCTCATTTACAAGAAAATTATACTTATGTAAATTGTTGCGTCACGCGATACCGATTTCATGGCAGTGCAGCGTCTGGCAAACGTTCGGATTCTCGGAGTAGCCCTCCGGCTCCGCAAGTTGTTCCGTTTCGTTCATTGTGTTCACTATCCTCCAGACACGTGCGAACGCCGACGAGGGCATCGTCGTCGGTATCGCCGTAGCGATTGTCAAATGACATCTAACAGGGAAAAAAATCTTTCATCATTCATCAAGTATCATTTTGCGATCCAATTAGTTTCTATTAATTTAGTATATCTCGTTGAGTAGTAATTCTTTTTTTAAACGTTTAGCTATAGTCTTGTTTCAATGATACGATTAAGAGAAAATGGTATGGAATCGTGGAAGACAGTTGAACGAGTTACAGTGGATCGAATACCGATTGACACGCAATTTGTCATCTGATACGTTTCATTAATCGTTTACTGTGTCAGCAAGAAAGTTCTCTTCAAAGCTCGTATAAAACTAGAAGTATTTAAAAAGATTTGATGGACGGCGCGAGTCGATTAATCGACTTGTCTTTCGAACACTTACAATAGCCAGGGGAGCTGCATGATTGTCGAAGGAGTGAAATCCCGGACTGGCCAGTCCGCCGCGGTTCCGAGCTACATAAGTATCCAAAAGTCGCAGTCTTATCCCCGCGACCGCGCCACTCTTTTCGAATTCGACGAAGCCAATCGGCGGAGCGCGAGGATAATTTATGAATCATGATTTATGAAACAACACCGTGCGAGCGAGAAACAGTGAGTCTCAGGTGTCACTCATAGTGAGAGTCGAGAGCGGCGTAATTTTGAATTTGAGCGCCCAGATGACCGCGCGTCACCCATGTGACCTCCGTTCCGTGCCAGTCAAGTTGGGTCAAGCAGGACTAATGAGAAATTCCTGTAATCTTACGATACTGGCTGCAGGTATCGCCAGACGTGAGAAGAAACGTGAATCTTCCAGAGATTTAGAATATTTATTAGCTGATTAGGGAACGATAGCAGGGAAAACAGAATTATAGTTTTAATTCATTGAAAATTGCAATCCTTTTTATAAATGATCGGACACTGAGTTTGTAATAATACCGATGTATGCTCAAGCATCGACACCACTAGTTCCCTGATATAAGGTCGCTATATTACCAACGTGTAGTAGACGCGAGAACCACTTCCCGATCGCCAGTACAACAGGATTAAAAATACTCGCATGATTTTCAAAACGAGACAAATTATTTCAGACGTCATTCAAACTGATCGTTCTTATCAGTGTATATTATCATTTCGATTTCGTCAGCAGTTGCGAAACGATTATTCTCGTATGTCGCAAAGTACTATCAGAGCACGATTTTAATTATTATGAAGAATTTCTAGAGAGCTCCTTAATTATTTCCACGGATCATTCGCGATGGAACGCGTTTCAACGACAGCGCCTTTTCTTTTTGGCGTATCCGTGGTTTTCAAGGCGACGCTTGTATCGTAAAAGCAGCGAGGTGTGCGAAAGGTGATCAATAACCGTCAATATGCAGGACGACGTTTTAATAAGAGTGTAAGCCCGAGATCCCGGGCCCCAGTTTATGACTCCGCGACACAGGACGTCACTTCGTCGCTCTTACTGCCTGCTCTTTATTACCACTTGTCTCTGTCCCTCTCTCGTTCTCCACCCTCGTCCTTCGCACCCCATTCTGCTCACCGCCCCGGCTCGTTTCTTCTTCGATTCTTCTAGTCTTCCTCACGCGTTTTCGCGCGAATTTATTATTTATAAACTCGGGGCAGCTCCGACTTTCAACATCGCAACGAGCTTCCCTCGCTACTCGTCTCACAATCTTTTTCACGCGTTCGTCCCACCTACTCTCCTGCTTACGCGATACCTCGGTCACGCGAGCACGTCGCCGTTCGGTTTGCGAAAGGATCTGTTCGTTTGATTTTGTACACGCGACACATGTACCTGGGTGGACAGATGTAAAGAAAAGTAGCTTTTAACCCGGTTTGAAATAGATTTGAGGGAACAGTAAATTTGTTAAATACATTTCTCGTTCCGCGACGCTGATTAGATTAATGTAAAAGCATCGGATTATCTATCAAGTGGCGACATATGTTCGACATTTCCGGAAGTCGTCGTTCGAGTGGCCCGCTATATGGACGTTGAATTTTTATCGATAGACCCCGCGCCGCCGCCGGCTCGAGTAACTCGCGTAACGAGAGAACTTAAACCTGGAGAGTGCAACAACACGTTCTTGTAAACGCATGCATGCATTCGCCAGGAAGCCGAGGCGGTCCTTACGATGCGCCTCCGCCAAGTAAACCCAAACTCCCGGCTTTCTGTTCCGGTAAACAACGTTTTAATCCTATCGAGATTGCTCGTTACACGGCGCGAGACGATACTCGTGCATCCAGCTGGCAGCCATCGCCGGAACACCTAATTTTCGCATAATCTGTCGCGAACTCGACGAACCCAATCGAAATCGTTTTAGCCCGAAAATGTTGGTTCATACAAATGCCAAGATTAATTTTCCACTCGTTTATCAATCAGAATTTAGTCGTTCTTACGCTGCTGCACTTTGATTCGAAACGAAAGAAGTTAAAAAATTGTCAAGCTCAACAGAAGGAAAGCGAGTGAAACGGAGAAGGAAATTCGTGTGGAACAACGAAGCGAGGACGACGTGCACGCGTTTAATCGATAATCACCGGCAAGTGGTCTCGTACGAAAAGGGTGCGGAGGTTACATCTGCGAGGTATCATCAGCGGCGGCCCTACGAAACGGCGATCCATCATCTCTCGGCAGTCCAAATCCGAAATTGCTCGGCCGTTTCCTTGGGCTACGCGTGCGGCTATAATAGGGATTAAGGCCGGTGTAAATAAATTTCAAGTCGCGAGTAATCCTATCTCTTTAAGCTTTGCGGCGTTCGCGAAGCCCAAAGCCCCGGAGGAACGCGACCGATCGTGTGTCTACTACCCCTTCCTTCGTCAATTCTAAGGACAATTTTACAAATACAGAATCGATGAGTTATTCACGCGGCTACCAAAGACAGTTTCTACAATCTATAGACTGCGAATTTTCGTGCAAATCCATATATCCGAGAATACGATTTAAGGTAGCTCGTTATTTGGAGGAGGACCTTACAATGGGCTTATTTTAAAATAAGAATATGAAATGAAAATTACATTATTAAATGTATATTATCATTTCCACATTCATATATTTTAATGTTATATTATAAAACAGTACATTTTTAAACAATTTTCACGGTGACCCTATATTTTCTTTACGGAAAATGAAAGTTCGAAACTTTAACTATTGTTTAGTTCAACTTGTACGAAAATCGTATATGTTTTGCAAATGCTATCGAGCTACCTTAAGAAAGGGAACGTTCATAGAAAATCGTCAGGAACAGCATCGGACGTTTTACATATTATACGCGTTTCGATGGGGAGAAGAGAGCTCATTATAGCTCGCGAGTTTAATTAAAAACTGAGGCCCAATAGAGCATGCCTTGGAAGTCGCGGTGGGAAGGGTTGAACGGAAAAAGCGGCTACCGCCTACGACATGCACGTTCGTTTCCGAAGGAGCTGATAATGAGCAACGAGAAGTGACAGGGAGGTTTCTCTATTCTGTCGTGTCAGTGACAGAGCCGCTGTCTTCTTACTCACGGTTGCCGAAGTTAGTATTGTTACGCTGCTCATTGAGCACGAGGCACGTTAGATTGTCAGCGGCAGATAGAGGGACAACCTTCGCCGGGTAATAATAGATATGCTGTCAGCAAGATGTTTCGACATTCGATTTTGCAAACTTTTACCTCTTGTCCGAGGAAACAGGAATCGTCTTTCTGATCACTCCGGATTTTGTGCATTCGATATGCGAGAACACGTAGAACGTCAGAAAAGAAATGCTTATTACAGTTTTATTAAAAAGAAGAGAAATTCCTGTTTGGATTCGACCTCTTGAATCGGCGTCGCAAATTATCATTCATGAAACGACGTAACATTGATAAAAATGCAAATGCACGATTCAAAGCCGACGCGATGGGGAGTTCGGGTGAAACTTGAGCGAGGATAAAAAAAAAGGACGGCGAGGAAGATGGAAAGGATTACGGTGCGTCAGGAGCGATGACTGAACGGCCGGTAATCGCCGTGGCCGCTCTAATATTTCGAATAGTTCGCATTTACAATGGGCTTTATTGGCGGGAAAACTGAGGGGGGTATTTTGAACGGCCGGGACATCCATCACCGTGGTGTCAACGTGATTGTCTTGCGTCGCGTACACCGTGGAAAAGTATTGGCAACGAGAGAACGGATCCGCAACGCTCGCGAATACAACTTTTTCCACTCTCACGTTTGCCGAGAGCGAAACCGAGCCGGGATATCGTTCGTCATCCTATGGAATAATTTGCCGATCGTCCACACCGTCGAGAGAAGAAAGGCAAAGATTTCGACCACGTTTTTGGACAGAATTATTTCGACCGTCGAGTGATACGGCTCGTGCTCCGCATTGTGTCGTATTTAAATGAGCCTTCTAATGCGTTTAGCTCGAATATCGCGGCGGAGCAGGGCGTCGTCGTCGTCGTCGTCGTCCTACCCCTGGAAAGGCATTAGGCGTTTTGTCAAATCTGTGTATGGATTTCGCTTAGCAGCCAGAGATTATTCAAATTAACCGAGGAACGTAAGAGAATCCACGGTTTCTTTCTCGATCAGTCTTCCCTGCGTATCCTCGTTGTTGGTTCAATTCAAAGCGAGTGAATCGGGAGTGTCGTAACGAATAAAAGTGATCGGCGTTGTCGTCAGCGTGCGGATTAAAGTCGACGAGAAATAAAAGCTGGTCGTTCGTTGGGAAAACAGTACGGGTGGCCGCGAGCGAGAGGGCGAGAGGCAGAGAGAGAGAGAGAGAGAGAGAGAGAGGATAGGTACATACGCTCACGGGAGGCGTCGATGCATAATCGGAGCGCACCCTCCCGTGGCTATCCGTTTTATTTATCCGATAACACGCCATTATGGGCGAATCGCGGATGCGGCTGTGTCGGTAACGATTGGCTATTTATAATAACACGTGGCATATGGGTAATTAGTTGCGCGTAAGCCACGCTGAAAAACCGAACGGTGGCGTACGTGTCCAGAAAAATTACCGTCGTTTTTCATCCCGCCTCAAAATCCATTATTTTACCTCTTGATTTTTCTATCCCCCTCTTCCCCCTCGGCTCTCGACGCCGCCCCGTCGCGACCACTCTCCGCGCGCGGCGTGTCGCGTTGTATGTAAACCGCGAGCAATTAACGTTTTGTAAAATAGCCACAGTTTCGTTTCGTGACTGCCGATCGACTTTGACGCTCGTTTTGCCGCGACGCGCACGTATCTCGCACGAACAAGTAATTACGTTAATTCGATCGATGTTCCCTTTTGCCACCGACGTACATGCAGCAGGCTACAGACGGAGAGGATAGAGAGGAGACGTGACGGTAAATTCAAGGAGAACGGAAAGACGATCGCAGGCACCGGACCGGAAACACGTCCAGCAAAGAGAATCGAGGCGACAGACAAGGTGGCAATCGCATAGAAGCCGAGTACCCAGTCGATGATGAACGCTCTACTCTATTAACCCCTCCGGGCTTTGTTTCTCTCCCGCGGCTCTTCCTTTTGTATAAACACGGTTAACGCGACTAATGGCGATAGGA